TCTGCTGCCTTAACAAATATAAAGTTAAACACACAAAGTTTGTGATTTAAACTGCAGTGCAAAAATGTGATAAAAACCACAGTGCACATTTGCAGATAAAGTCAATATGACCCTTAAATTAGTTATATATATTTTTGTTTTATTTTCAGACAGCATGTTAAATGAGAAGTAACTCTCATTTACAATTATGCTGTTCTGAAATGGGTCTCATGGTATTTTCAGCCAGACAGCTTTTCCTCTTTGTCCCCCTGTGGGACAAAAGGCCACAAACGTATTCATAGTTGGATGTTATCACCTGCATGGTACTCGTGCTCTCTAGTGGCTTTGCTGTATGTGGCCGTGTCTTTTAGAAGCTGCTCCCTGCTAGAGTGATCACCTGCAAACAATCAGATGCCCAATCAAGCCATGTCAGGATTTAGCCTCAGTCTTGCTCTAGCCGTTGCCAGATTGTCTTGTGCTCATGCCAAACTCTTAAGCCATTTGTTCAAGCCTTGTTTCTGTGACCTGTTAATGACTTTTTCCCCTGTTTTCAAGACGAGCAGGATTTTGCCTATAGCCCTTATACTTGTACCTCAGCCTGCACTACTTTCCCTTCTATCTTCATTGTCTGCTTGACATTTTTGCCATCGAAACCCTCCCAAAGAGATTTCTGTGTTGTCTGCTTCTGAGTCCTCTCCACGGTGTCTGACAGCATTAATGTGAGCAGTTGAAAAAACAAAACATGAAACGGAGATTTAACGATTCAAGTTGCATGTGCTTTCAAATTGTATTTAAATTATATTGTATGGGTCCCAACATGAAAGCAATACAGGAGCTTTTTTTTTAAATGAGTGGGGGTCACAGATTAACAATTCCCCTAATTTCAAAAGAATCACCACTGCAGATCTACCTGTCCTCTCCTCAGCCTCCTTAAATTAAAATCTCCCAGCTGCAGGCATCGCAGATTGCCGGCATGTTTCCTGTCCGAACTTAATCAAAGCTAGCAGGTTCACTTATAGGCTGTGTGTTGTTCCAAAACTAAATTTAACATGCGATTCCCCAGATAAAAGCCCGTTTTTAGAATCCCCCAAGTTAAAAATCATATTGCGTCAGTGCAGCCAAGAGAGAGACGGAGCAACATCAAAGACCATCACTCCCTGAAGTGACTTCTTTTTCTTTTTTTTTTGAATCATGACAGCCCAGAACATTATTACACCATACTGAGAGATGAGATTGAGCAAGATAAAAGAAAGAAACCATCTCTTAGTTTGACAGTGGGAATTTTCACAAATGATAGTCAAGAGATTAGTTCACTTCCTCAAAGCCTGGTGCGGATGGTGTTTTGAAAAGATGTCACAAGGCCCTCAATAAGGTTTTTTTGTACACGAAACCTGAGAAGTCTAAGTGGAGAATAGTGAGATGAATGAACGCCCGGGGCTCGGTGTATTACATAATGTCATCCAGGGGGAGGCACAGGATGTATCTGTTCTCTTCTCATTTCTCACGGCTCACCTCCACAGCTCCTTCATTAATTAGTTTTTCATAATTTTTGCAACCTTTCACTTCCTTCCCTGCAGTATACTTTCTTCTTCTTCCTCCCCATCTTGTCTTTCCTTCTCCTCCCTTGTGACCCGTCTTCCTGTTGCACTCCATCTTATTTTTATTTTATAGTCCGCAGCCAAGGCAAACGGCAATGACAAAATAATCAACTAGAGGTTAGGTAACAGAAAAGCAACATGAAACATGACTAGATAAACAAATCACCATAAATAAGCATCCTCCCTGTCACACTGCTCCAATCAGGGCGCGTTGTTCCAGTCATGTGACAACACTGTCCCTCTGCCTTGCTCTGTTTCGTGACAGGCAGGGTGAGTAAGATAAAGAGGGCGAAAATAAAAAAGGGAAGGAGAAACAAAGGAGCGGGGAAAGAGTGAAGGGCACCGAGATGGAGTGATACAGAGGAGGATACAGAAGGTGAGACACCATGAGAAATAGGAAGAGATGGGGGGGGGGGGGGTGAGACTGTGAGGATGTGACAGACTTCAAAGACGGAGAGACAGAGAGAAAACGGGCAAGGGCAGAGTGAGACCAGGAAGTGATGCCTTTGAGAGCTGTCCGTGAAGAAGAGGGGGAGTAAGGGAAAACAGTCGTGAAAATTAAAGAAAGCGTGCAACTCAACGGGCTATCACAGCGTAGCACTCCGCCTGTGCTCTGCTGCAACATGGAGGAAATATACATGGGGTGATTTTTTTTTTTTTTTTTTTGGGAGATTGTGACATTGAGACAATTTCTCTGTCTTTTGCTTCTACGTGCGTTTCACATATGATTGTCAATAAATTGTGCAAAGGAAAAACATTTTGTGTCATTTTTTTGAGAGACTGTTGTATTATCATTTAAGAACTTCAGTGGTGTCCCTGTGTGGTATCATTTTACACAACGTCAGTGATTATCAATCATTTAAATTAGCAATTGAAGTAGTTATACTTCACATTTTTGGTCTGATGTAAAGCATAGTGGAACACACTTCCATCATTACATAATTGTGTCTACAGACATATGTACTTCACATACATATACTGTACATCTTAAAAGGATAGTAGAGGTAGAGTTCATGATATTCTGACTTTTAATCTCATGTATTGGTAATACCAGCAAAACGCTGGATCCTACATTTCCCATGATGCATCTTTCCTTATATTACACCCTCCCAGGTACGCTTCGTTTTAGGAGTTAAAATACAGCGGCAAGCTTCGGGACGACGTTTCCTCACTCCGGTGGAAACAGGAACTGTGAGAACTTTTAGTAAGTTTTGCATCAGCATCTTTCAGAGCTGGCAACCTATGGCCTATGGAGAATGGCTTTCTGCTAAACATGTGTTGTCTCCAAGCCCGAGCTGAGATGACCCTGAAGAGATTATCACAGGTCATTTTTTCAGACTTTTGAGTGGTCGTGACAGAGACAACCGTTTTCTCAGATTAAATAACAGAATCAAATAAATAAGACAAATAAGGGGGTGAACACGGCATGGGTATACAACTGTACTCATAATGTCATAAAGAGGGGGGGGGGAATCCTATTAAGTATTGTGAATGACACTGTCAACATTTACCATTCATCCTCTGCGGTGATTACTGATGTGATTCAGTAAAATAACAGTCACTACTGGGATTTTAATTTTCTCATCAGACAGACCCTGTTGTAGATTCATCAATAACAGCTTCTTGTGTAACAGTGAAGTCTCAAACAGATTTTTGACACAAAACCTGGTCATCAAAAATCTGATCAGCTGAAGGTTTCTTCATAAAAAAAGGAGGCATTTTGTAGTCTGACCGCTCAAACTGATGTTACACTATTATCAAATAGCAAATTCCAAATTAGGAGAATAGTTAGGAAACTGGACAATCTCTTGTTTATATTGTAAACCAAACTCAACTTCTCATTAAGCACGATGTTCTTCCAGAACAAAAAGCTATCATTCCCAGATCCAACTGTAAGTAATATCACCACTAAGTACTGGTGTTTCCAGCACCACCGTAAAAAACATCCACCAAAAGAGTTTACCACCTAGATGGAACTGGGGATGTTGTCACCAACACAATAATCAGTTACCCATTAACCCACCCCACCCCCCCTCTAGTTACACATCCTAATTAAGCAAATTGCACAGCCATGATTACCAACGTCCAACTGAGCATTTCACGCTGAGCTCCAGCCAAGACACTTGAAAGCTGTAAATGAGAAAACTGCTGTACGACGATGACAAGGCTGTCCAACAGCAGGACTAAAGAAGATGAAACACTCGGTGATGAATAGTGTGTCATAATTTTAAAAAAAATGTTTAAAAAAATGACAGGAGGATGATGCTTGACATGTGTCTGTATCCACTTCATTTTTTTTTTATGTTAACAGATTCTGTACAGGGCGATTTCCCACATGCTCCAACTTGAAGTCTGGCTGCGTGGGAGTAAAACTGACATTTCAATTGACACAAGTGGGATTTCTAATACAGCATGCACAGTGTATTATCTCTGTTCTTATTCTGACAAACACGAATAAGCATAGACCAAGCAAAATGTGCCAGTCATTCATTACCAGGGTGCATACAGGTATGAGTCATTCTGCGAATAGCTCATACCTGCATGCTGCTAAACTTGCAATCTATCAAAAACTGATGTCCCTGGCTCATCTGCATGTTATTCCTGATGTGGTGAGGTGTCGCAGAGCTCAAGTGCAACGATACATTTTAAGGTGTCAAACTGAAATTAGAGCGGAAATTATCTCAAAAGCGTGTCGGATGCATTTTTGCCATCTCTCCTTGTTCAGCGACACAAAGCTCCATTTAAATTATTGATATCTGACTAATCAATAACTGGGGGTGTCCCTGAGGTAACGTCTCGGGTGTGAAAAGAAGTGTGATTCTTGGATAAGAAGTACTGAGGCAAGAAATGGGCAATATTCCATGACGCTGCTCGAAAGAGCAGCAAGGTAGAAAGGACATCATGAATCAACTTCACTTATCTTCGGGGCACAGAGTCTGACGATTATATTCATTTAGAGTGTGAAAGAGTCTTATGGTGGGAGGCTGTCAGAAAATGTGACACAAAGGTCGGGAAGAAAGCATGAGATAAAAGAGGAGGCGTGAGCTCATCTGAGACTGTTATTCAGGATATTTCCTCAGAGAAGCGTGTGTGTGTGTGTGTGTGTGTGTGTCTGTGACTGTAAAATAGCGAGAGGAGAGAGTAATGGAAGGCGTCCTGAGACATCTCTCTGATTAAGGACTTTGAGCTGACATGGTAATTAAATATGGAGGAGCAGAACAGTTCTTACACACACACACACACACACACACACACTCAGCTTTCCACTCATTCCAACACATTACGGTCTGGTTGGCTGTGTATAATTTACCCGGGGAGGTCATTTGCTAATGTTTAAACTGCCACTCACACACAAACACGCACAAACTCATCGTGTACATTTCCCCACAATCCAGGATTCAAATTCCACACACAGCCTCTCACCTCTACAAAGATGAAACATGGGATGATGGAGTAGCTGCGCAGGGTGTTGTTGGACGCCATCTTGTCTCCTGTCGGGAGACTTCTCCTCTCCGGATTCACGGCGGCTCACTCTGCAAAGACGGGGACATTCAAGTGTCAGCGCTCATTATCTGATAATGAGAGGAACGCGGCGGTGCCATTGCTACCTATCACACTAGATCTCACTCTCAATATTGACCGATCACCTACAGCTTGAAGGTGATTCATTATTATTATTGAAGTTAATTTGAACTTTCTAATGTCCATTCCATATATCTTAATAAAGACTGAGAAACAACGGACTCAAAAGTATTCTGTTAAATCATTACACTTGGGAAGCTGACTTAGAAAAGTACCTCCGGCCTTGCCAAACCAGTCCATCAATCCAGATCTGATCCTGGGTCCCAGTGGCAGAAAAGGACAAGCAGAACAGCTCAAACGACCTTTTTTCCTTTTGCAAATCCCTTCTGGGGGGGGATCCTAAGAACTCCCAGAGCAGATAAGAGATTCAATCCCTGAGTTGTGTTTTAGGTCTACCCTTGAGTCTCTTTCCAGTCAGTCTTGTACCAAAAAAAAGTCCAAAGGGGAGATGGACTGGTTGCCAGGCCAGGTAGAGGAACCTGCAGGCCTTCCAGGTCTGCAATTACTGTCAATATCAAATCATTTGTTGTTGATTTTTGATTAATCATTTAGAAAATATAAAAAGAACAATATGAAATGTCTGTCATCATTTCCCAGTGCCCAACGTGATGTTTTAAAATTGCATGATTTGTATGCAGCACCAGGCAATGTTTGGTATTTTTGCTTGATAAATGACATGAATGGGTTATTGATGAATTAATTAATCGCACTACTTCCTGTAACTTGACTGGATACACCTAAAAGAGCAACCAGGGACCACTCGGCTCACCACCTGTGAGACAAAGGGTGGGGATCAGAGTGGAAAGTGACCTTGATGGCAAAGACAGGCTAGTTGCAGATTAGACCTATACTAAACATGATCACTAATCACAGCATTATAACTAACAGCAAAACCAACTTCTCTCTGGCTTTAAAGAACAGAGAGAGACTGACACCACACCGATAGAACGGATCTCCAGCACTCAAACACTGCATCTGGCGCTGCTTCCGTTCTCTTGTCATTGTGTTTTACTGCATTTCATCATAGCTCCTAATTGTCACAAACAATACCATGGCATTTCCCCATAGAGATAGCTAGAGAGCTTGACAGTGAGAGTGGAAATCAGAAATAAGTAGAGAAGATGGGAGGAGAATATTGAAAAAAAGAAAACTGCTGTGATGTATTAGCTTTTCTGGATCTGGGCTGAAATGGCTGAAATGGCTTATTGCTCAGTCGGAGCATTGTTTTCAACCGCTGGGGGCCGACAGCACAAGCACTGTCAGTGGGTGTAGATTAGGATGGTTTTAAAAGTGGTTGTGGAAAACAAGAAATGCCAGTATCTGCAGTTGTAGTTGTTGATTTATTATTTTCAAACAACAAAGCTATGACCCCCCGCAGATATTTAATGTTCATAAATGTGTTGTGGGGCTTTAATCATGCTTAATTTCCGATTAAAGAGTAATGTTGCGAGTGATTTGATCTCTCCCTCTCCCTCGTCTCTCTCTCTCTCTCTCTCTCTCCCTCGTCTCTCTCTCCCTCTCTCTCCCTCGTCTCTCTCTCCCTCGTCTCTCTCTCTCTCTCTCTCTCGTCTCTCCCTCTCTCTCCCTCGTCTCTCTCTCTCTCTCCGTCTCTCTCTCTCGTCTCTCCCTCTCTCTCTCTCGTCTCTCCCTCTCTCTCTCTCTCTCTCTCTCTCTCTTCCTACTGTGAAACTCTGACTGAGAAAAGGTTTGTTGTGGAGCCAAGTTGGAGAAAAAAAGGATCAGTGGATTCAAATTCTACATTTATTCATCTATTTTTCTTATTTCTTTTTATTTACTGATTTTCTATTTTTATTCTAGATATTGAAATATACTAGAACACCGGCTGCTCATTTTAACCACTGGAGACCATTAATAAGCACGGTTCTGTTGGATTTCAACATATCTTCGACATTTCTGCTCAATTGTTGACAAGATTGCCTTTGATGCATTTCTTACGTAACTATCTGGTCATAAATAGCAGACGTTTCAAGTTCTTACATATGCACAACAATTACAGAGAAACAGTTGTTGGCAAAGGCTCCCTCCAACAATGCTCAGTAATTATGCATAAAATAGAACAAGTACACAAAAGTAAAAGTGAAATTAGAATCTCTGAGGAAAAATTTAAAAGTTCAAGTTAAACTTCAGGGATAACATATAAACATAAATAAAATATGAAATGAATATACAGTACATTAAAGTAATATAAATTTGTGGTAGAAAGTATTGCAAATGAATGTAAACAGGGACACAGTAAACACAAAGAAATTGGTTTTAGTTGGGAGAGAAAATGTTCTAAACAAAAATCCAGTCCTAAAGAATCAAGGATCCCAGCAGCAGTCAGACTGTAAACATGGAAAATCATGTTGGTGTGTCATTTTCATATATGTGTCATATGCATCTCTATTATAGATAAGTATATACTGATACTGTACATTTGTATTCATTGTCTGAAAAATAGATAAATTAAAGGATATATTTATCGTATTTTGGCTAAAAATCCTGTACATGTCGGCCTGTTGTATATCTTGTCTGTTGCTTGACTGCTAATTAAGACTGTTGCTGCAATTAGTGTAACACACTTCTACTCCTCAATTACTACTTCAATTTCCATTTAACAGTCCACACTTAGAGTTAAAGCAATAGTTTGCGTTTTGGGAAATACGCTGACTCACTTTCTCGCCAAGAGTTACTGTTAATGAAAAGATTGATTTGGCTCTCATATCTGTCCATTAAACATAAGGGTACAGCCAGCAGCGGGTTAGCTTAGCTTAGCTTTGAGCCACAACTGGAAACAGGAGGAAACCGCTAGGCTGACAGTCTGAAGGTAACAAAATCCACCTACCAGCATCTTTAAAGGTCGCTAAGTAGCATGTTATATGTTTCATTTGTAAAATAACCTATATGTTGAAATGACTGATGTAGCCTTTATTCCATTCCCTGTCTTTATGCTAAGCTAAGCTACCCAGCTCCTTATATTTTAACGGACAGATATGAGAGGGGTCAATCTTGTCCTCGAACTCCTCTAAAATAAAATGGGCACACTGGGAGTATCTCTATGTTTATCTACAAATGTAGAAACATTTGAAAAACTGAATCAAGAAACAATGTCAACCCTCCTATATGTTTAATCAGATGTTCCACTGACAAAGGAAAACACAAGTGAAACTCTCATCCTGACACTTCAAACATGCTGAGTCACTCGACGCAGGCACACAGTGATGCTGAAAGGTCTAATCATTCCCTAAGAGCCGGCCCCGTCTCATTGAACACTAAATCCAGGCTAATCAACCTGACGTTAGATGGAAACAATCTGACCCTCAGTCTCCCAGCTCTTAACACGGGAAAGAAATCTGTTTGGTATCTGTAGTGAAACACAAATCAGCACCGGCCATCCCATCACCTGCTACTTAAAACTTTTAAAACTGGTGTAAGTTTGCCTTAAGGTGACAAGAGCTGCAGATTTAAAACATAATCTTATTTAACCTGCGAAAGATCAGCGCAGATATCAAATCAGTATCAACCGCGGAGCTGGTATAGAGGCTCACTCTTATGTTCAAGGCCACTTCAGCAGGGTGGATAGCTGTCAGGTGAGGCTGAACTCAGGTTTTCTAGTTGATGGATAGTCTCACACTTCACTAAAACTGCGAACACCCACATTAGAAGTCTTGCATGCCATGTAAATTTAATTGCTTTCAGTAAATCCATGGGAAAAAAAAACCCTCTACTGCTAGCCATCCTCGCGATCCGTCTCAGTGCACATTAACGGTTATAATCGGCCTCCAGTGACTTGGTGACTTTTCAGATTATGTCAGCTGGGGAGGCATCAACTACCGGGAGTAAATTGAGTAGTCACGTTTGTAATGTGGTTTTTAAAAAAAGCCCCCAAAATTAAATGTAATCACATTTACACAGTTATACTTTCCGATACTCCAAGATATTTGACTGGTTTTTGAAAGTCTCTCTACTTCCGCCAACAGGGGTTAAATTATTCATCATTTCTGCAGCTTGCTCTACTGAACCATGCTTTTATTACACCAGTCAAATGAAAACATTCATGTAGCCAACTGTGATTTTTATCTCAAGTGGAAAACTTGATTTGTTTGAGGGGTTGTTCTTTTCCCATGATAAGCACTGTTCCCTGTATATACAGCGCTAATTAGCAAAAGACTATAACTGCAGAGAGTGGCGCTCACTGGATATGTCGCAATGTTATACAATATGATATGATACATGTGATGTAATTATGATATTGTGCAGCACAGTCAGCCTATGATGCACAATATATCACATGCCAAACACCTGCAATCATAATAGCTGCAATCTATCTCTATAGGAACAACAAAATGTATTCAAAAGCATAAATCGGTTCTAGGGAGGGTCTTGATCCGTTTCCATACTGACTCTGGTGCGGTGCGTTTGGGGTGGAAAAGCCAATTGGAGCTACCACAGGATTGAGGTCTAACCGGGGGATGTTGCAACCATAGTGTACAGTATGCTAGTAACCACTGGGCCGCCAGACAGACCAACAACCATAGATTTTCCCCTCAATCAATAACAAAATGTTACAGAGGTAAACAGAAGGGTGCTGTGCTTGTGCTTGCTTCATTTACTTCATTATAAAGTTGCTGAAACAAGATAAGTAAACCTATAAAGGCACTAAATGATTGGCAAGTATTGTCTTTTTGATGCTCAAAGTGGCCACAACCCTAAATCTTTTGAGACGTGGTCTAATTATAAAAATAAATAGAAAACTGTGCAGTGTAAGCTTATATTTTTGCCTTCTTCTGTGGCTGCAGAGGGAAGAGACAGAATAAACAACTGGCAATTTGACAGTGTGGCTGTGAGCTTGATTTCACTCGGGGCTCTGTGACAGATGATTCGAATCAGAAAATTTAAGGGGGGCTGCACTCAATGTCAAAGAGTTTACACAACATTCACTTATTTCTCA